CCAACCAACCAACCAACCAACCAACCAACCAACCAACCAACCAACCACTACCACCAACAGCAACAGCAAAACAAAGCAAGAGACAGAGCTGGCAAAGTAACAGGGAAAGTGTCTGTTTTTTTTAATTTTTTGAGAAGGTCTCACTGTGTAACTCTGGCTATTCTGGAACTCACGGTATAGAGCAGGTTTACTTCAGACTCACAGAAATCCTCTTGTCCCTACCTCCCAAGTGCTGTGATTTTTGTTTGTTTGTTTGTTTGTTTTATTTTGTTTTTCAAGACAAGGTCTGAAACTCTCTCAGTAGAACAGGCTGGCCTCAAACTCACGAAGATACTCCTGACTCTGCTTCCAGAGTGCTAGGACTAAAGGCGTGCGCCACCCCTGCCTGGTCATTGGAAAATATTTTAAACAAGGAGTAACATATCTCTATAATCTACTCATCTGAAGATTATGTATAAAATTTTTCTGTAACCCCATCTACTTGGGAGGCAGAGGCAGAAGTATCATGAGTTTGAGACCAGCCTGGGTGACCTAACAATATCTCTTTAACTCCCCTCCCTTCCGCCTTCAGAAAGTCCAAACCAAACCAAACCACTACAGCACTGACCTCCCCTCTCACCCCCAAATCCAAGCAAATTAAAAAACTGAAGGGATTGGAGAGATGGCTCAGCAGCTAAGAGCATTCACAAACATAGAATAAAACGTAAAATATAAATAAATAAATTCTTTTAAAAATTGAAAAAGGGTTGCCTGGGCAAGACTGGGCCTATTGCTTATCAGCCTCCGGTTGGGGAGCAGTCCATGAGGCCTTGGCTCCCTGCAGAACTGTAGGTGACAGACGGGTGCACTCATGGGCTTCAGCTGAGTGCCCACAGCTGAACCCACCAGGTTCCATGGATTAGCTCCAAACCCATGACCACTCAGACAAGGTGTGTGTGTGTGTGTGTGTGTGTGTGTGTGTGTGTGTGCATGTGCGTGACAAAGGGTGGGAAGAAGCTAAGAAGGATGAAAAGAAGACAATGTGACAGTGGCTAGAATTTATCACATATTATATAAATGTATAAACTGACATTGAACAAAGTTAATAAGTTAAAAAAACATATGTATGTATGTATGTGTGTGTGTATATACATGTTAAATAAATTTCAGGTCAATCAGATGGCTCAGTGGGTAAAAGCTGCTTATGGCCAAGCCTGATGTCCTGACTTTGATCTCCAGGACCCACATCCAGCAGCTTGTCTTCGGATCTCTCCACATGTGCCCCGGCATATGCTGTCTCTCCAATCAATCAATATATGTAATAATAATAATAATAATAATAATAATAATAATACCAAAAAAACTGTGCTGTGTCCACTCATTTGCCCACATTCTCTGTGCGTCCTTTGTGACTTTATCACCTGTTTATTCATCAGAGGGTTTTTCTGTCTTTGGGTCCTGTGGGAACATCAGCTTCCTCATTCCCCAGCACTTCGGCTAGAGTTCAAGGTTTGCTTGTTTTTGAGAGAAAATTTACACACAGTGAAATGCTTAAAACTTAAGGGCACCATTCTCTAAATATTGACAAGTGCACGCGGTGCCGTAGTCGGAGCCCTTATCAGAAGAGATAACATTCCCGCCTCCCTTCCTCCTGCCCCTAAGCGACCCCGGCCGGGTGGAAATGGAATCCTAGATAGCTTCTATATTTCAAGGTAATGCATTGAAGAGTCATCTACGATAAAACTTGTATCTGTGCTCTCTTTGCTTTATTACAGTGAAGAAGAGGCTCTTTACTGAGACCCAAAGTGATGGAACCCAAGATCTCCGAGCAAACCGGACAAGTGCTCAACCACCGAGCCACACCCCCAGCCCTGCCTTCTGTTTGGCTGCAGCAATAAACCAGGTAGGCTCTGGGCTGTGATTGTTCTGGAAGAGATAATGAGGAGGTGGGTTGTTTAGACTCCTGGATTAAGAGCTTTGTGGGCATTATCTCCATCTTCCGAATTTAGAAAACTCCCTTCCCCTGCAGATAAACGTAGGCTTCAGGAAAAACCTGATTGTTAAGCCCTTTGATTCCCGAACGCCTGCATATTTCACATTTTGGTCCAATCTCTGCTGCTCCATATTGGCAAAGAGGCATCTTGGAACCCCTAT